ATAGAGGACTTACCTCGGCCTAGTATTCTCAGGGGGGCAGAGGAGGTCGCTCCCGTCCTTGAGGCAGAGCCGAGCTGGATTGACCCACTCGCGAGGTTCCTGCTACACGGAACCCTCCCCCCAGATCGCAACGCAGCCAGAAGGGTGCAGCGCCAGGTAGCCAAGTATGTCATAATAGACGGATGGCTGTACCGACGATCCTACACGCTCCCCTATCTGCGTTGCTTGCGACCTACCGAGGCCGAGCTCGTACTACGCGACACCCATGAGGGTGTGCGGCGGCCACTTGGGGGGCAGGGCTCTCGCCCAGAAGACACTTCGACAAGGGTACTACTGGCCAACAATGAAGGTCGAGGCCACCGAGCTCGTCAGAAAATGCGACAAGTGCCAAAGGCACGCCAACATCCACCATCAGCCTGCCGCTAACCTCAAGTACCTCACTAGTCCGTGGCCCTTTGCACAGTGGGGCATCGACCTACAAGGACCATTCCCGCCAGCAACAGGTAGGAGGAAATTCCTAGTAGTGGCGGTGGATTACTTCACGAAGTGAGTAGAAGTCGAACCTCTCATAACAATCACAGCTCGAAACGTCCAGAATTTCTTTTGGAAGAGCATAGTATGTCGCTTCGGGTTACCTCGGGTACTGATCTCCGACAATGGCAAGCAGTTCGAAGACATCAAATTTCAAGAATGGTGCCAAGATATGAGGATTCGGCAGAACTTCACATCGGTCGCACACCCGTAGGCAAACAGTCAGACAAAAGTTATGAACAGAGCTATCCTCCGCGGACTGAAAGCACGACTAGACCGAGCTAAAGGGTTGTGGGCGGATGAGTTACCAAGTGTTCTATGGGCTCACCGAACTATCAAAAAAACCACCACAGGAGAAACCCCCTTTAACCTCACCTACGACACCGAAGCAATAATACCAGTGGAGATCGAAGTACCCACACTGCAACTAGAAGCATATGACGAGCAGACGAACGGAGAAGAACTACGTACCAACATCAATCTACTCGACGAGGTAAGAGATCTCGCGTACATCCGGACTGCAGCTTACCAGCAAAGAGATGCTCGGTACTACAATGCCAGAGTAAAAAAGCGAAACTTCCGCGTTGGTGACTTGCTTCTCCGTAAGATCATGGCACCCGAGCCCGGCGTCGACAAACTTGGACTGAACTGGGAAGGGCCCTACCGAGTAAAGAGAGCGCTCGGGGGAGCATACGAGCTCAAAACTTTAGAGGGCAAACAAGTACCCCGAGCGTGGAACGTCGTTAATTTGAGACGATACTACCTATAGATCACCAAGCGAAGTGGACTAAGAGTCGCTATCAGAGCCTAAGGGCTAGAATGTTGAGCTAACAAGGACCTCGGCATGGGCAAGCAAAGGCCAAGTGTTAACAGCGAACTAATAGGGACATCGACACCTCAGAGGCCAAGTGTTAACACCAAAACAGGCCGCACAAGTGCAGTAACCCAGGCAAAAAACGGATTGGGCATATGGTCAGTTCGGCAATATGGTCAGTTCGGAAGAAAGAGTGGCAACAACACTTAACCAAAAGAAGAACATTCCATTGCGAGATACTTCGTTTACATTCCAAAAAAAAAAACAACAGAAGCGAGCTCACAGGCCTGGAGGTACTTCTTCACCATCGGAAGGCACTTCAACGATACCCGAAGGTCCTGCCTCATCCTCAGAGTCCGGTTCACCGTCAGCAGCGTTGGCCATCTCCTGAGTAATGCGCGAAGTGGTTATGGTGCTAATATCGAGCTCGGGGTACGTATTCCGGATCATTCACCGGCTCAATTTAAAACCCCTTCTGTACGAGCCCACCATCAGGTCGTCAAAGCGCGGCGAGGCGATATAGTCTTCGACGACCTTCTTCTTGGCATCCTCGATGCCCTGAGAAAAGATCTCGGTCCTCTCCCGAATGTCCTCCTGAAGGTATTCGACCTAACGCTGCAAGTCCAGCCTCAGGTCCGCCATGTGCTTCACCACCACTCCCATGGCCTCGATGTCTCTCTAAGACCTCACCAGCCTGGCCTGTGCAGCGTGAGAAGCCGCTTCGGCAACTCGGTAAGCCTCTTCGGTAGCTCGCGCCCGCCTCGAGCTTCTTTCCGCTTGGGCCGCTAAGGCATGGATGGAGGAGTTCACCTACCAAAAGGAAAAACAACGAGAATGTTAAAAGAGTAGCAACGAAAAGGGTAACGACAAGGAACCCAACAAGAAGTCACTAACTTACCACCATAGCGTAAGAAGCAGCACGCCCGGCCACATGGTTCAAAGGAAGCCCGGCCCATGCCGCGACCTCCTCAAGGTAACAGGCCTCCTTACTTTTTTGGAGAGCTTGGTTCAGTGACAGCACGCTCCTGAGCTGGCATCGGCCTCCCAAGCCTGAAGGCCTAGCCCGGGTATAAGCGACCTCGGTGTGAGGTGCCCCCGTATAAGTAGCCTCGGCGTAAGGGGCCCCTGCCGCTTTTTGTACTAGAGGGGCCACCTTGGGCTCCGCATCTCGGGGCAGTTCGGCACGAGTCCGCTTGGCAACTCGCTTCATCCTCTTCATAGCATGAAACAGGTTCCCACCGCGAGTCTTTTTTGAGTCCATCGCACCTGCAAAAAGCAAGAGAGAGCTCAGCATCAAAAAAAAAAACAGGTAGTATGCCCGAGGAACCTACCCGAACTCAGGTCGGCCTAGATGAGCTTGGCCTCCGTCAAATAGTGGTGGCATTTTAGCCCGAGACGGGCCCACTCCCGAAGGCCCTTCGCCGTCTCCCTATCTAGCGTAACACTAGGGTCAGGGGCAGCCAACCCCCACCCGGTTTGAAACGGCCACCCCGATACACTTCGTGCCACGAAGTAGTCCCGTTTCCACGCCGGGACCTTGTTGGGGAGGTCGTGTAAAAGCTTGAACCCCGGGCGAGGAGACAGGTAGTATGCTCGCCTACGCCCGGGAAGGGGACCCGCTTGCTTCTTAAGCATAAGGATAGAGGAGATCTCTAGGTCTAAGGGCAAAATGTGTGCGCAAAAGAGGGAGATGGCCCCAACCAAGTTACGGATAGAATTCGGGTGAAGCTGACCAACGGTAACGCCGAAATGGTTCATGACCTCGACGATAAAAGGGTGGAAAAGTAGGCGCAGCCCAGCAACGAGCTGCTCCCGAAATACCATGATCTCATCCGGATCGTGCTCCCAAGGAAAATCACTCGAGGGTATAGAATAAGTGTACTTCTTGGGCAAGTTGAATTGGGCGATAAGGGAGTGCAACCCCTCGGGCGTCATGGTTGAAGGCCCGAACTTGTCTAACGTCCGACCTCGACGGGAGGAGGACGCCAAACTACCCGAGGCAACTCGGCCTATGGGTTCCAATTCTTCCTTGAGCTCTTCCTCAAGCTCCACTTCGGGTTCCGCCTCGAACTCACTAAGGTTGTCGGGGACCGCAGCTCGGTTCGAAGAACCTGCGTATGACCCCCTCGAGAAGTTGTCTGAGCTGTCCGAGCTAGACATGGCGAGGAAAGGAAAACCAAAAAGAAAAATAGACTCACCCGGAAAAAGCTAAACCGACTACGGAAGGTTGACGCAAGCTAAAAAATCTGGACGCGAGCTCAATAAGCAAACGCAAGAGAATGGCGGAAGAAAACGACTGGGGGTCCCCCACTATTTATACCCACAGTGACCAAAAAACCAACAGCTCTAATCAAGACAAATCCAACGGCTCGCGACCAGGCTGACCACATGCCTCCTAAGACCGAGACGTGACTGGCTGCACGTCTTTGGAAAATGAAGCAGCGCCAACGCACGTCTCCCAGCTTTAAAAGCGGCGATGGCGCGTTTTTTGAATTTAAATAAACACCCGCCGCCACGTCTCCCAACATTGAAGGCTGCAACGACGAGATTTTTTGAATTTTAAACACCCGCCGTCACGCCTCCATTGGAAGGCGGACTGGCACGTTTTTTCTGACTTTTTGGTGCTCAAGGAAACCCCTGACGTCCGCGCACTTCACGTCGTCAGTCAGACGGTTTGAAAGAATGGGTCAAATCCACTCGTCACCTCGCGAACTCCCCGCACTAGCGCAAAGACCCTTAGCACGAGGAGTGGGGGGCAATTGATGGAGGTAAATTTGACCCGACCTCTTAACCTTCCGACGCGTGGAAGCAGCCAAGGGTGACCTGGCAAGAACGACAGCTCGACACAGCAGTGCCCAAGGCGCGAGCTCCAAGAAGAGGAACCCCAACCTCCCCCAAGAGGGACCTGTGGCCCGAGCTCCCCAAAAGAAGCCCAAACTCTCCCCTTGGCCCCAAACCTTGCAAAGAGCATAAAGGGCCACAACCCGAACTGGCCCACCCCAGGGCACTTCGGGCCACACTTCTATCCGAACTCAAGACTTTACCTCGCGCACCACTCCGGCACCGTCTCTTGGCCACCGAACTGAACCACTGTACCTGACACCAGAACCCGTATCCTGAGGCAGCGCACCAGACTGACTTGGGATCTGACGCTTGACAACCGCACTTCAACGATCACCTGCCACTGCCACCTCCTGTTACAGAGACGGCTCCAACAAAGAGAGCAGTGGCGGTTGCCTGCCCCAATAGAGGTGACGACACCCGAATTGGTAGAAGCACAGAGGTCATGATACCCGACCTGATAGGAGCTTGGGAGTGAGTGCGCGAAGTGATTATAAAAGGCCCTCTTCCCCCCGAGAATGGAGGTAGGTGATAACTTTGCGCTATCTGGTTTTGATCTTGCCTTCGAGGAAATACTAACTTGAGCTTCGGAGCACTCTCACCGGGTTCCTCCCCGAAGATTCCTCGCCTTCTTCTCCGTTTCAGGCACCTGTTGCTCCAGTCGGAGGCAAGGTCATTGACAGCTAGGACCGACCGGATTGCACAACATCAAGAGCCAAAGCCACATTATAGATCCAAAAACAAGTAAAATGAAATTTGTTAATGAATGATATGATGAGGAGAATCCTTTAATGGAAAGCAAGCTTATTATAGGAAGGAACAAAAAGATCCAAAATGTTGTCAATGGAATTTGAAAACACTATCTTTTTGAATCATAAGAATGGATGATACATGCATATGAATAATTGATATATGGTTATGTGAATGTAGTTTTGGTGTACACTACACACTATCACTCAAAAAGATAATAAAAACTGGAATTTGATAGTAACTAGTGGTAATTAAAAATACTTAGATACATATGCTGATTTAGAATCAATTTCAACGAGTAGAAGATGATTGTGAATTACTTCACGGAGAAAATTCTCCTTTCTGAATCAGCAAACAATGAGTTACACTATTCCAGTTTTGGTTACATCTAAAATGATGAAGGGAAACAAAATGTTTTCCTCCGAAAATAATACTCAATAAGGAATTAATTATTTCCCTAATTCCTCAAAAAATAAACAAAATGGTTTTCATCTCCATCTGCAATCAAACACCAAAAAAATATCATTTCCTAAAGAAATTGTTCATATTAGCAGGACCATATTCCTGGTGCAACACTTGGTGGACTTCACCAACTTAGCCATTTGATCAAGTACCATCAAGAGGATGGATGAACAG